TTGTTGTAATGGGGGATGCAATACTATTGCCTTTGGCACTGGCTAAACTTGTGGAGAATGCATCTCATATATATTATTTACAAAGAGATTTGTACAAATGTCATCACTACAACCAATCAAAGAAAAAATGATGACATGGCTAGCTACAAATATGATGTGGATACTTCTTAATTACAACATGGCTTAAAATTAATTAAGATATAATTCAATTATAAAAATGAAAATATAAGATAATAAATATATAGTCGTTACCATTATAAGTCATAAGAAAGAATAAATATTAGATTTTATTTTTTTACAAACTTGAAAAATGAACAAATTAATATCAAACAAAACTAAAATATTGATTTTTTATCGGAATTTTATATTTTCATTGTTTTAAATGAGAATTGTAAATTGTACGAAAGTTTTCTTTATTATATTTAAGTTTTATGAATAAAATATTTTGTATACTGATCATATTTATGAATTTATTAAATATAATATATACATGATATAATAAATCATGTTTAAGATATACAATAATAAAATATAGATAACCATAAAATATAGTTTATCTATATTTTATAATATTTTTGTTCTACAAACAAAACTTTATGCCAACTACTTATATTTTATACCTCAAAGTTTTATCTACTTTTACAAAAAATATTTTTAAAATATATACTATCACTTTTAAATAATTATATCATTCATTTTAGATAATTCATATATATTAGTTACCAATTGATTGCTTAAGTGTATAATCACTATAATAAAAAAATGATGACATAGATTATTAAAAAATGTGATATATCTATTGTTTATTATAATACAACAATAAAAATGTATAAAATGATTATTTCAGAAAAAAAAAATATTTATGTAAAGTAAATGCCATTGTAGATAAAAAATTCATAAACTAAAAATATTTAACTTTTTCAACTACTACTACTTTTTTATTTATTTTTACTTTCTTTTTCTTTTCAAAACATAATATAAATTGATAATATTTTGTTTCTTTTTTTAAAAGATATCAAATAGAAAATAACCCAAAACTATTGGTTGGTGAACCTGTAGGTTTATCCTAGGAGGTGAATCCAAGAATAAGTATTTTTTAAAAAGAGAAATTCTTGGGTTCACCCCTAGGGTGAATCTTTAGGTTCACCAACCAATAGTTTTGGGTTATTTTCTATTTGATATCTTTTAAAAAAAGAAACAAATATTATCGCGTTATATTATATTTTAAAAACTAAAAGATAAAAATAAATAAAAAGTAATAGTAGTAACAAACAAAAAAACTTAAAAAATATATTTTTAATACCGTCAGTAAAACACTAAACCCTAAACTCTAAATCCTAAATCTTAAATTCTATTTTTTTGGGTAAATCCTCAACCCTTGGATTAATCTTAAACCCTAGGATTTATGATTAATCCAAGCGTTTAGAGTTTACCCAAGGGTTTAGGGTTTAGGATTTAGGGGTAAGGTTTTGTGTGTTTGGTTGATGATATAAAAAATATTTTTCTTAAAGTCAAGAATTTATTCAAGGGTTTAAGGTTTACATAAAGATTTTAAGGTTTAGTGTTTTGATAATAGTATAAATTTTTTTTTTGATTTTCTTTTGCAACTACTATTATTTTTTATTTATTTTTATTTTTAAATTTAAAAACATAATATAATTCGACAATATTTTGTTTCCTGTTTTAAAAGATACTGAATATAAATAACATAATCCTATTGGTTGGTGAACCTAGAGGTTCACCCTAGGGGTGAACCCTAGGGGGTGAACACAATAATTACTTTTTTTTAAAAAAAATATCAAATATAAAATAACTCAAAACTATTGGTTCGTGAAACTAGAGGTTCACCTTAGAGGTAAATCTAAGAATAAGTAATTTTTTTATACCTAGAAGCAAATTTGGAGCTTTTAGATGAAATCTTTAGTTATCCATACTCAAAAATGTGTTTGTTTACTTTGGATCCCTACTGGTGTATCCCTTTTCTATGTTTGTATTGTTAGTTTTCATTATTATGAATCTTTGTCTAAATAGCTTAATAATACAATCCAATGTTAAAAAAAAAAGACATGTTCACGGGTAAGTTGAATACTAATTTATAATTGTGGTTTGTTCTTTTCTTTATTTATATTTATTTATGTTTATTTTTTCTTTTTTTAGTTATTATGTTTTTATTTGGTTTGTCAATTTAGCTTTTATAATAGTTGACAATAGTACTGTTTTGATGTTTTTTACCATATTAGAAAACGCGGTCACCTGACTGATTAATCGCCTAGCGGCTAGGCATTAGACGGATAAACACCGCCACGATTTTGGTCAAATTGGTGCAGTAAATCGGTTTACCGATTAATCGCATATAAATACGATTAATCACTTAAAATACGATTAATCGGTTCATCGTCCGATTGAAACCAAAGAAAAACTTAAGACTAAATAAGTCAAGTACTGTTTTGATGTTTTTTACCATATTAGAAAACGCGGTCACCTGGCTGATTAATCGCCTAGCGGCTAGGCATTAGACGGATAAACACCGCCCCGATTTTGGTCAAATTGGTGCAGTAAATCGGTTTACCGATTAATCGCATATAAATACGATTAATCGGTTCATCGTCTGATTGAAACCAAAGAAAACTTAAGACTAAATAAGTCAAGTTTGGGCCATAACAAGCCCACTTGCTTTTATATAAACCTGAGACCTCCTCGTCTATATATATAAGTGACTCGAAGACCTCCTTCACTGAAACAACAGTTGTAGGACAAATTTCTGTGATCTTTTATATATATTTTTTAAATCACAGTAAAATCAAATTAAAATAAAATATGCATTGCATGCTATTGGAACATGCAACCTCTCGCCACAGCTATACCGCATAAACCACTGGACTATGAAGAATTTCAATGATGTTTTCACATATGTTAATATATATTTACATTTATTTATAATAAAAATATAAAAACTAGGTCCCGATTAATCCCAGCTTAATTTCCAATTTATTAATTAGTCGCTAGGCGTAAACCGACAGCTCAACTAACGCCTAGCAAATTCTTGATCACAGGTTTTTTATGAAGCATTATTGTTAAATGAAGTTAAAGGATAAGGTGACAATGGTCAACTAAAGAACTGGGAATAATCAATAAATAATAGGATGATTTATTTTACTAATAAGGATTGTTATATGGTATTTTTAATCTTTTGAAAACCTAAAACAATTATTCTAATAAAACTTTAATTACTTCTCTAAATATAAAACAATGTTTTATAAATCATTTATAGGCACATGTCCACAATTAACAAATTTATGAAATTATATATATACTAGAGGCATAGCCCTTGCGCAAGCGTGAGACCGGATATATTTTTGTTGTTAGTGCATTGTGTAATCGTGTGCATGGTATTTTGCCGTTTGTTTTTTTTTCTTATTTTTTTGTTTTTTTCATGTTGTTTATAATGGTGATGAATGGAACATTGGAAATCACACAACTTGATTAGGTCGATATAATAATGGCTAGAGAATTCACATATATTGATATTTTCATATTTTGTTTTCACAATGATTTGCTTTTTCAAAACCTGAAGTTTATGGGGTTGGTTAGTGTTTACTTAAGCACAGTAGATGTTCTATAAATTAATAATGTTGGGATTTTGAAATTTATTAATTTATCAAGACATTATTTTATAAAAAAAATTCTTATTAAAATTTCTTATTTTAAGACATATTTATTCTTAGATTAGAAAAAAATATTTGATTTTATTGTACCGAAATTAATTATTATATTTTCAAATTTGATATTTATATTAATTTTATTATATTATTTGATGTATATAATATTGCATAAAATTTAAATGTGGTTGTAGATATAATATTATTAAATCTCATCAAAAAATATATTAAGTGTTCAAAATATAAATATAATTTTACTGTGAATATAAAAAACAGTATAATGATAGATTCTTACTTATATAAAACATGTATAAGTCTTCACAGCCCTGCCTATTATAGATCTTATGAAACTTATTGTACATTTTTATTAAAAATATATATTTTATTATTTATTAGTTTTATTTTATTTAAAATAAATGACTTTACATATATAACTTTAGATTAACAATATTTATTCACCAAAATTATTTATCATACACCAAAACAAACTTTGAAGATATGAAAATCAAATATGTATCTACAATTAATATGTTATAATATAAAATGACAAATAATATTTATATTTTTTTAAATTAACTTTGTGTAAACTTAAATGATTTATAGTTAAAATCTATATATATATAAGTTGATTGAGAGTCAAGGCTAGCATTTGCAGACTTATTCATCTATGTTTGTTACAGTGTTCCTCTTTTTCTTCAACTATAACAACTAACGATCTTGAATGTCAAAACTTACTGAGACCATTGTAATTTTGGTTACTACATAGTTTTGGAAAAGGTAATAAATTAATCGTTTGAAAATGTATTGATATTTTTGCTGAAGTTGATCAATGACGTCGAGTAGTTAAGTACTGACACAACACCAATTATTTGGCTTCCAAAATTATTCTACAAATTTTGAACCCACTCTAAAAGAAATAAACAATCTTCATCTCTCATATATCAGTTTTCACTACATAACAGAGAACATAACGAAAGATGAAACATGAGAGAGCAATGTGTTTATCCAACATATACTAAATCTTTACCACGTTACTATCTCATAAAGAAAAAGAAAGAAAAAAATATATGATTTACATCAGTCTCAAGCTTCCATGATTACTCTGCAACTAATACTATTCCGAAAGAGTAACAATCTTTGTCTATTATTCATTACATAATATCAAAAAAACATTGAAAGATCTTAAAGATTTAAGTTCCATCACTCATACCTGACATCGAAATCAAGCAGCTGCATACGAAATCATCTCAGTTTTCCTAGCATAAGCAAAACTCCCACGCATCAATCACAGGCCCAGTGTCACCAGTAGTCTTAAACTTATACTCTTTATCCGTCGTATGATTAAACAAAAACACGACCCCCTTCCCTCAACTCCACTGTCGCGACATCCCTCTTGCTAGACTCATCACAAACCCTAACCTCTGAATCCAGAGAATAAATCTCCCCAGTCACCACCGAGTTACTAAAAAAGATCCTCGCGTCACTTTGCGCCACCACCGCTTTCGCCCCTGCCGCTCCCAAACACACCGGCGCGATCCTTGAAGCTATGCAAGCTTTCATTTAATTTGTTTACAAGTGAAAAAATATCCAAAAAACTCATAAGGTCAAGCTCTGTACCCTTGAGTCTCCTAAAAACAATGAACCAAAAATGAAACACCGAAGCTTTAACACAAAATCAAACACAAGTTTTTTACTCAGTTGCAAGCTGTAATCTCTCAAGTTCACTCCTCAAAGATTCATTTTGTTCGCACTGCAACAACATAGTCCATGTGAGTAAAAGGGATCAGAAACGTTTATGGTAGAAAGGATCACTGCTTATAGACAATAGATTCACATACCACATCACCATTATTCTGAATACAACAAAGTATAAGTTATTGTTCAGCCTAGCAGCACTATATCCATCGTTCATATTTATAGATTTGTGAAGAAGGAAATAGAGACGTCGACATGGAATGTAGATCCAATGTGAATAACAATTATGACAGAATTAAAACAAATACATTGAACCATAGGAAAGGTGATGAGATAAAGAAAAGGAGGCGAATAAATGAGTGTATGAAAATGGAGACGGCGAGCTTGAGTTTTGAAAGAGAGGATAAGATGGAAGCCCTTAGAGGGTGATGATTAAACGCAGAGTGGCCCACAGTCTTTATAAAATCCATATGTGAATATTGCGAAGCCCATTAAAAAAAGAACATAAATAAAATAGAAACCCATATGTGCTAGAAAAAAATATAAAAAAAAAACTATATAGCTGCTGACGTGGATCTCATTTTAAGAAAGAAAGAAAGACTTGTCTTATAAAGATAAAAACATGTAAGTTGTCGGATTCGAACTCACGCCCTTGCATACCAGACACTACACCTTAGACCACTCGACCAAACCATAATTCGTTGTTTGTAGACATTTTAGCAAGACTATGGGCTTTTAGAATAAACACGGGACCCACAAAAATGCTGACGTAGCGCACTAAGGAGCCTAGAACTGTACTATTATATATAAGATTATGATATAACAGTATTATATATAAGATTATGATATAACAGTTACCCAAAGAAATATTTAATTCTAAAATTGCATTGAACAAGTATTTTGAGCTTAATACTTTAATGACAAACTTTGAATTTAGTTTTTCCAAACAAGGATAAATAACTATAAATATTAAATATCTCAAATTAAAAAATGATTTGTTATCAATATTTTAAAATTTTTATTTAAAAATATACAAATGATCATAAAATCATGTAAGTGTGAAACTTCATTTGTTAGATATACAAATTAAAAGTATAATATATATATACATATATATATATATATATATATATATCATTTATTAATGAGTTAATTGGCTAAAGTACCCTATATGCTACCTATAATTAGCAAATTAACCTTGATTTGATTGTTGCTTTTCGTGTGACAATTTTGCCCTTCTCTACACTCTCTCTCCTCTCTTTGACATTTCTTCCTTTTTTTTCTCTTTAATCTTTAATTATTTTACAAATCTTTATTATTCTATATACAATTAAATTTTAAATTTCATTATTTTTTCATAAGTGGCTTTGAATCCTCAATTTTTGACCTTTTTTTCTCTCTAATCCCTAATTATTTTACAAATCTCTATCATTCTATATACAATTAAATTTTAAATTTCATTATTTTTTTCATAAGTGGCTTTGAATCCTCAATTTTTTGATGATATCAATTTTCTGGGTTTTAGATTCGACGTCGTGTTAGCGGTTAACAAATATTGTAGACGTTAACAGAAGTGTTAGTTGTTAACAATTANAATCCCTAATTATTTTACAAATCTCTATCATTCTATATACAATTAAATTTTAAATTTCATTATTTTTTTCATAAGTGGCTTTGAATCCTCAATTTTTTGATGATATCAATTTTCTGGGTTTTAGATTCGACGTCGTGTTAGCGGTTAACAAATATTGTAGACGTTAACAGAAGTGTTAGTTGTTAACAATTATTTTTACCCTTCGCGTTAATAAATGTGTTCGCTGTTAACAAATATTGTAGACGTTAACAAAAGTGTTAACTGTTAACAATTATTTTTTACGCTTCGCGGTAATAAATGTGTTAGCTGTTAACAAATATTGTAGACGTTAACAGAAGTGTTATATGTTAACAAATGTGTTTACGCTTCGTGTTAATGAGAGGAAAGAGAAAGGGCATTCTCGGCATTTCCTTGCCAAATGGTTGTGTCAGTGTCCTTCATGTCCAATCAATGGTATTTTGCTAATTTGAGTTTCAAAAATGGGTAGTTCACTAAATCACTCTTTATTAATTAGATTTGTGAGTATTTGCACTCCATACACACACAAAACCCCCTATTTTGTTGTATACCCTATTTCCCTCTTATCTCTCCTCTCTATCACTACTTTCCCCCCTCCCCCAAAATATGGCAAATCCTAAATAGCTTTTTTTTTTGGTATATTGGGCTAAATTACTCTAGATTTATTTATATAAAGTGATTGTAAATAGTAAAATATAATTATTTTATTTAAGTGCTCTCTAAATTAGTTGTATATATGATAGTTGCAGATTTTTCAATTATTCAATATATTTATTTTATTTTATATTACAGAACATAAAATAAATTAAGAATAAGATATAAAATAATTTTTATATATAATTTTTATCCCGCGCAAATGCGCGGGTACTAACCTAGTATTATGATATAACAGTTACCCAATATAATAGGATCATACCTTTATAGATGTAATCGAATTATCCAACCCACAAAGGAACTTTATAGTTATGGATCTTATCAACCTCTTTTTCCCTGGATTGAGTTGATAGATTTTAGGAGTCATTGTCATACTGATATATATTTATTTATATATATATATATATATATATACACTTAACTTTATTCTCTAATATATTTGATTTTCAATCATCTAATATATTTTACTCGTGTAAGAAAACCTAAGAATATTTTCAAACACAAAAAAAAATATGAAAGCAATTAAGGTGGACACACACACTTTCCAGCCAAATAAAGCAATAATAGAGTTTTTATACAGTTCAACATCACCATTGCATCTCTTCCAATAATTTCGTTTGGATACAACAAAGGAAAAATAAGAGAACCAAAGAAATTACAGAATGAACAAACAAATCTCAGAACAACCACGCAATTAAAGTTTTAGTGATTTCTATAGCTGGAATCAATTACAAGATCAGCATGAGCTCATCAGAAGTTGTTCTAAATATTCAGCACCTAAATCTTCAAAAACCACAAGTGTACCACTTTCTTGCTTCACAACACTCTGCTTATTACTTCTTGATATTGAAGATGAGGAAGACGAGGACGAAGATGAATAAGAACAAGAATTAGAAGAACAAGCAGAAGAAGAATTAGATGATCTCTTTTTCCCTCTGGGTCGATTTCGAAGCGAGTGTTTTCTCTTCAAGGCCATAACCGGAGATCCTCCATCTTCAAGATTCACATTCTCCATTTTCTTGAGGGACTCTCTGACCACTTCCACGGGGAAGTTGAGTACCGCAAGAGATCCTTTTGTTGCGTAAGCGGCTTGATCATAAGCAAGAGCAGCTTCCTCGGCTTTGTCAAAAGTCCCGAGCCAAACCCTAATCCCGTTCCTAGTCGAATCTCTTATCTCCGCCGCAAATTTTCCCCATGGCCTTTTCCTTACTCCTCTATATGACTTTTCTTCATCAATAGTACCAATCTTTTCTTCTTCCTCCGAGTAAGAAACGTCGCCGTTTTGGGTTTCTTCTTTAATCATCATCTCTGAATACTCAAACGAGAAGAAGTCATCGGTGTGATTATAATTAGGGCAAAAGAAGGATTGAAGATCAGATGATTGATCTAAAAAAGAACTCTCGTTCCACAAGAATGGTTCTTGAGATGAGCTCCGGGAACTTAAAGAGGAATACATGGTAGATTGAGAATATTCTCTTCTTTTTTTTGCTATGGCATTAAAACGTATTTCAAAACTCAATCTGTTATATATAGGGAAATTAAATTTGTTAGATATTTGAAAGTGGGTTATTTTATGGGCACTTCTCTCAAATATCACTCTTTTAATTTTTTTTTTTACTTTGAAACCCTATCCCCAAAACCCCACTCCTCAACTCTAAACAAAAAAGTTTAGGATTAGCTAACCCAATGGATATAAATGTATATTTAATAAAACGTTTAAGCGATATTTTTTCATTTTAATTGTTAAAGTCTATATTTATGATAAAAACTTTTAGGTCTATCCTAATCATTTTCTCTTATTTTATTATTAATTCTGATAGGTCATGTTGTTCAAAAAAAAGAAAATTCTGATAGCTCATTAGAAAAATAAAATTTATTTATTTAAATTTTATATAATTATAAAAATATATATATGTATAATTTATTGTGCTTATTTTCTTAAGTGAACAAAAATTTTGAAATTATTCATACAAATGTTATAAGTATTTTCTTTATCTAAAATAATTTACATTGATTTTATTTTAATAATTTAAATTCAAATAAGATAACTCGTGGTTTTTACATTCTCATCTCAATTAACTTTAAAAAAAAATTATATTGAAAATTATGTTAAAGATTGGTTCAGTGCGTTCTGTACTTTTGAAAATCATAAACTTACTTAATTTTTATAATAAAAAGAATATAACAATATATATATATAGATATATAGATATATTAAAAACAAAATATTTAAATATTTTTATTGAAATGTAATCTTAGAATTAATATGCAGGAGACTCTTTTATTTTATTTATAAAAATTAAAATATAATCCGAATGAATATAGAAGTATTCAGAGTTGGAGATATTTCTTCAGTTTCAAATAATTCAGCTAATTGAGTAAAATGATATAATACAAATAAACATAATGTATACCATCTATGTATATATAGTGTAACTATAAATAATTATTAGACATGAAAAATGAAAACTTATTTTGTAAAATATTTTTTTTCAGTTTTTAAAAAACATATTTTAATAAGATAAAGTGACTATGATTTGCGTAGATGTAATTTTGGTTTTTTGATGTTATTAGTCACAACATAATTAATGCTTACACCAATAATAAATGTTTTGCTTAAGTAAACAAAAAAAGACCCATTTTTTTCTATTGATAAGAATATATTATTTTTTATATGAAGATGTGATATTTTGATATTTTTTTGAATTGTTACCCATTTGTTTAGTTAATCAATAAATTTGTTGCTGAGAGATTTTATGACTAATGAATAATTTGATTAGATTTTATTTATGAATATTCCTTTATTAACTTAGAATGTTTAAGGTAATGTTAATTTTATCTATTATATATAAATAAATAAGTGGAATGTAATTGTAATTAAATTAAAATGTAATGGCATAATCCAAAATTTTCAAAATATGATCCTACTTTAATAGTATAGATAAATTTATTTGTATCCAATGAGACCAACGACAAGACACGTATATATATATATATTTTTCCAACGTATATTTAAGGAAAAAACTAGACTCACAAGGATATATCGCTATTCTGAAAGGAAAGAAGTGGGTGATATTTATTTCCACGTGGCACGATATGGTTAACGAGAGGTGACGTTAGGCGGCGGGAGAACAACAAAATAGATGAGATCAGCTTAATGTGATGTGGCAGTGTTAAGTAACTAAAAGTCTGAGAGAGTTGACTATAGAATAGGCATGTGGATATTTCATAACGATACTGATAACAATTAAAAACCTTACTAGAGATTAATCTGATACATAATAGAGAAATACACTAATATATCAGTAACAAGTTTTTATCACAAATATATGATATAATAGTAAAAATAACTGAAATAAGTTTAAATAAGAAGGTAAAAATACTTATATATACATAAAATATTTGAGAGAAGTTAAGATTTAAATAAATCTGAAAAATCTAAGTTTTGAGTAAATCTTAAAAGGATTTGTTTGAATTTTTATGGTTGTTTTAAAATTTTGTAGAGATTTAAATTTTAAATATTTATTTAAATAACTTTTATTTACTTTAAATTACTATAATTTGATCTTATTATTGTTTTTTTCAGATGGACGTAACGACTACACATTTGACTACATATGTGTAATAGTAGTTTTACGTCTATAACAACTATATGACAACAAAAACTAAAGTCATCGTAAATTTGACATAAAATTTTTATGAAATAGTTTCATTCGTAAAAAAATATAAAGGAACAACCACGTTTTGACGAAATTTCGTAGTCATCGTAAAACAGTCATTACTTTACGTCTTATTTTACGACGTATACTTCTGCATCTAGTTGACAACTGAATTACGCGTGCGTAGTAGTTAATTCGTAGTAATTGTTTTTGGTCATAAATTCGTGGTAATATTCTCATCTACCAAATCAAAATTTGCCTATAAATATGCTGTCCGTTCTAATTTTTAAGATACACAAAAAAAGAAATAAGAATAAAAAAACATCTCGAAATATTTATGAGCTTCAGAGTTAGATATATGCGCATAAAGATTCTACGGAAAGAGTGATAGGCAAATTTCTCAACGGGGCAGACATATTCAAGTACCAGGTCGGAAATACGTCTCTTACTCATGAAACATGTAAAATGTTTTGTTCCTGTTGTATGTGCAAGAATACCAAATTTGCTCTTAGTGAAACGGTTTAGAAACATATAGTAAACAGAGGATTTATCTGAACTTTAACTCAATATGCCCCTGGATTCAAGAAAAATTCTCAATTCTCCCATCAATAAAGTATAATTATTTTTTATTATTTTTAAATACAAAAACGTGGTAAATACATATAAAACCCTAACAAAATCAGATAATTACATGACCCAACCATTCATATCCGACCCACCCAAACACATATGGGTATAACCCAATCCCTAACCTAAACGCTGTGTGTTTGACAGACTTATCCCTCATCTCTCACTCATGTTCTTCTCTCCCTTTTTTTTTCCAGAAACGGCGACATAAACGTCTCATAAACCCTAGATCGAAAAAACCGTCTTTTCTTCTTCTTCCTCTATTCTAATCAAGATTCTTCCTTTCAAATCGACATCCTTCATCTTGTAAGTGATTTCTTGACCTTGATTTCGTTTTATTTTTTATTTATTAAGGGAGATTGTGGTTTGAAATTGGGGAAAACATGTTGAAATCGTAGATTTGGTATTAAATCCGTATAAATTGGAACGAAAACCAAAAATTCATGATTGTTTTGGGTTCTTTCTTACTGGATCCAATTGGTTTACCTGATTTATTATTTGTGATAAGAAACCGAAATCTCTTTGAATGTTAGGATAAATGTAACTGAAATGGAGTTGGTGATTTATTGATTGAAAGAATGGTTTGAGAACTATTGAGTAATAATTATGGGTTATGTCTAAATGTGTGTTGTTTTTGGAAGTTCAGAGGAAGGAGATATGGCAGGTAACCGTGGAGGAAAAAAAGACTAAAAATAATAATAAAAAAGCCACAACAGCTCAAGAACTTGTTGATCCTGTTGTTGAAGAATCAGACGGGAATAATAGTGATGATGTGGTTGAAATCCTCTCTGAGGTATAATATTTTTTTGGTTTTAGTTGAATAAAGAGTCACTACTTGTGTGTGTATTGGTTTTATTTGAATTAAGTGTCACTATTGTGTATTAGTTTAACTTGAATCAAGTGTCATTGCTTGTGTATTAGTTTTCGTTGAATCAAGTTTGTGGTCTTTTGACTGGATTAGTTGAAGCGAAATGGTTGACTGGCATGATAAAAAGTCATAACCATGTTTAAAGAATAAGTAGTAAGTTTTGTTGTGATTACTCATCTTATATAGGGAATGAAGGGACAAAAAAGAAGGCGTCCATTTATTATAGGTGGTGTGTCCAGTAGAACTAGAGCTAGAAAGGCGCTCTCAGATGGGAATGAGCTGATAGGAGAAGAGGCAGTCCAGTGAGATAATACTCCAGTGAGAGAAACCATTGTAGATTCTCTCTCAATTGATGCCGAAAGTGAAGACATGTCTCCTGTATCATCCAAGGTAATTTTTGCATTCATTTTAATCATTGTTAGAAAGTCATATTAGTCTTACTAGTTAGGAATGACTAATACATATATATACATTGATTGCAGGAAAGGAAACCACTGCAACCTCTTGAGTTTTACTTCAAGAGCACACAGTTCACGAAGACTTCCAAGATTCAAATTAAATGTTTGGTGAAGAAGACAGTTGATGTGATTAAGAAGCTTAAGGAGGAGATTAAATGGTTCAGAATCCATCTCCAGTTTTGTCATTTCTTCCACATGTCCGATGAAGAATTCCTGAAGCTTCAAGCAATGTGGATGATACTTATGCGCACCATTAATATTGAAGGAGATGATTCTGCATGGTTTAGGGTGAACGGTGTGCCCATCCTCTATTCTATGAGGGAGCATGCCCTCATCTCTGGCTTAGACTGCCATGAGTATCCGAAGAAACATTTGAAGCTCGGAAATATAAAGTTTGTAGATTATTACTTTGGTGGACTCAAGAAAATCACCATAACAGATGTGGAGCAGAAGCTGTTGTCTATGAAGTCGGCATGTCCTGATAGGTTAAAGATGGCTGTCTTGTTCTTCCTTGGTCGAATTATTAGAGGAAAGACAAAGGATAACGGACCAATTGACCCATTCATCTTAAGGATTGTGGGAGATCTATATGTTTCCTTGGGGTCGTCTAACATTTGAGGATGCAATAAAGGAGATTAAGCATATGATGGAGCTTCTGAAGGGTGAAGTGAAGCAGGCAACCGACTTTCCTTGATTCATAATTCCATTACAGGTAAAGCATAAATTTAGTAAAAATTTAGTTGTTTTAAAACCGAAAATCTGATACTGTGACAATTTATTTGTGTAGGTTTTGCCTTTTGAGTATATTCCTAGGCTGGGGAAAATATTTCGACTCCCTGCATAG